CGAGGGCTAGCTAGCCAATCAGGTTGCAGGGTTCGCGCACAGATGCCCCCTCCGGGGCCATACGCGCAGCTGTTCATACGGAGAGGTCAGTGACACCTAAGCGGCCCACTACCCACCCTTTTCCTCTTTACCGCTGCGCTCAGTAGAGAATTCTATATAGTGATAATGAAGTTATTAGGGTGTAAAAATCACGATTTTTGGTGTAAAATCAAGTGGCCAGCTCGCTTGGGTGGCCAGCTCGCTTGTGGAGTACGTTACCTAGTTTTGACATTCATAAAGTTTGCAATGAATCCATGTCACCATTGCTTGACCGAAACGTAGGGCAGACTTCTCTAAGTACAACTTGAGCTGGAGGCGTTGTGCGCACGCTCGCACGACCCTGTTCTCAAACGCCATAAGCACTCGCACATAAATCTCGGTAACTTCAGGGTCGCTTGCACATTCCTGTACTTGAAGTCAAAAACTTCATGGATTCTCGTACAGCCTTGTCCAGGCGTACCTACATAACCGCCTGAGACCTGTGGACGTTCGCGGGACCCAATTATTGGACACCATACAGAAATTATAAGTCCACGTGGCTGCGCGACAAGCACAGCAAGAGCCTGAGCATGGTCCTCCCCCTGAGATGCGTCCACAAGAAACATTCGCACTTAGGTGATACTTGTATACAAATAGCTACGATAACTCGACACTTCTACTCTATGTACTCACGGTTAAACCAGGGAAGAGCTAGCAGTTCAGCAGCTGACAGGCGATCTTTGGGATCGTACTTTAGGGCGGACCTTATCACTGCAAGGAGTCCAGCACTTTCATTATATGTCATCTTTTTTGGCTTTCTCCTCTGAAATCTTTGCTCGAGCGTATCGCCAACCAAGATATCACTGGGTATCTCTGACTCTCCCACATCTGACCGAATTTGTTCTCCATCCTTATTGAAATATCTCTTCCCGCGAGGCCATCTCTCGAACATCGCTGGAGGTAATGGTCCGAGGGCGTGAATCATTTGGAGGAGATGATCGTCGTTGTTTTTCTGGAGGGCTTGGTCGTTACAATCTGCTCCTGGAAGGAAATCGCCATCACCCTCCTGGGGGAGATTGTTATCATTGCTCGTTCCGTGCAGATGGTCGGTATTGGTGCGCGCCAGGTTGAATGGTGGCATGACAAACAGAGGTGCCATAGTGAAGAGCTCGAACAGAAGGCAGCCAAAGCTCCAGATGTCAATCTGGTGATCGAAACTGGACTGGAGTACGACCTCGGGGGCGCGCAGCCCGATTGCGATGACTGGTGTCGCAGGAGGGTCATTGGAGAAGAACGCTGCTTGATATCAGGGCTGTTGACTTGAGACTCGACAAGTAGTACGTACCGGCACCAAGGTCAGAGAGCTTCAGCTCAACAGGAACTTCACGATCCCAGAACTCCGTAAGCGGCCGGTTTTCATAGATGCGCTCAGGAATTTGTGGATTGCCTTTGACCCCTGTAGACCAGCATTTGCCTCCAGAGGAAGGTTGTTGGATTGGGATGGTAAGGGACAGAAGCAGGTTTCCAGGATTTGAATCACTGTGCGCAATTCCCAAGTCGTGAAGGCATTTCAGTGCCGTTAGTAGCTGCTTGCATATCGATTTGGCCTGCCAAGCATGGATTGGATTATAGTCAGGATCGTAACATGCCGCGACAGCGGGCCCCATGGGCTCGAAGACCAAGCACTCATGCTCACCGTTCGGACCATCGTGCTTGAAGCTATCCAGAAGTGTAACGATGTGGCCTCGTGCAGTGGCGTTGGCACGTATGATCCGGTTAATGTGTACTTCTTTGGACGTACTGGACGCGTCGGAGCTCAAGATTTTGATTGCGACGTACCGAGGATTACTTTTTGGTACCTGGTTAGCAAGTAGACGATACAGGCGCTGGAGGTGTGGTACCTAGTGCACTCCGCGAGCCACACAGTTGAGAACGACCCGTGGCCCAGCTTGCGAATGATCTTGTACTGGTAGCGATCCGCTTGAAATATGTCGCCGATTTTCACGGGATGAAGTTTTCCACGCCGATACGACTCAACTCGCTCGGGGTATACCAGCCACCCCGGAAGCTTGTCACCAAAGGTTAACGACTCTCCACCTTCGTAACCCATTGGCCAAAGCTGAGGTCTGGACGGCCAGATTGGTCTGGAAGACGTCGGTCAAAGTATCGATTCTTTGGGAGGCAGCTGATCCGCCAAGTATCCAGGATCGAGCGCCAGGTGCCTTTTGCTGCCTAACAACGAGGATGTCAGGCGCGAGAGTAGCTAGACAGTCTGATTATAGATGCCCAAACGTCGTGAGGAGACAAGTGCGGATCAGTCGATTTGCAGGTGCTCAGGTGATGGAAGGCACTTGAACAAGGAGCTTAAGGTAACGGCGGAATGCAAATCTAAAATAAGATGCGGTAGGCAAGGTGGTCGGGTTGAAATAAGCGCCAAATCTGAATCGAGCTCCGCATTCGAATCGACCCTGCACTAGCGTGTCTCATGCGTCGCCCATCAAAATGCACCAGTTAACCGCCAATCTCGTTGTCCAAGCAATTGCGACGGGTCATTTCTTACGATTCGCCCACAATATGCGGAATCGCAGCAGATCCGCCCGCATAACAGCGCCAGCAAGTCTGGTGATCCATACGATACCAAAGACTCGAGACTTTCTTAGCCTTGGCTGGTGATACAAGCGGGCAGTAACGCGGTTATTGCCTGGTTACGTTACCAGGACTAGTCCACGGCATCTTATGTTGGATGCCCAAGATGACGTAGTTGGGTTGTGCGACGTCTCCGAGATCAGTCTTAGGGCGATGGCGTCAATGATGATTGGAGCTCTTTCTTTCCAGCCGTTCCACTCGCGCAATTGCAGCACTTAGAATATCTACAGTGATAGGTGCATACGACATAAGGGAGCACCGCATCACGGAGGGGAACGCGTCGATGCACACATAGTATTGTCTCGTGTAGATACTGACGTCGATGATGAGAGTACTGACCCATTGCGCTAGCTGCCATTACTTGTAGCCTTGTAACTGCTGAGTCTCTCAGGCTTGACCGCAGCATTTCCAACAGGAAGGATAGCAAGCCTTAACCACCAATAACCACTACAATCAGCGCTATACTTAGATATTCTTAATAAGACTAGGTTAACAAAGGCACCTCTCCTGCAGAACAGGCCCATTGTTGGTGTGTATAATTCTTATAGTAGTGGTAGATAAAGCAAAAACGCTCTGCGTAGGTGTGTCCCTAAGGGTTTATGTTGTACCTAGTAATATATTTTTAGGCCTAGATTTTAAAAGTATAGTGCTTTGTGTTGTTACTATAGCTGCTGTGTAGACCTGAGCTGAGGATAAGTTAGTCTAGCTATTGTGAAGGTCAAAGATACAAGATTAAAAAGGGTGGAAGATGATCTAGGTCTGTGGGGCACGCACATGAGGTGGGCATGGTATGGATAGTAAGGGGGGTTCTCTGTGCTCATTGCGTAAGCACACTGGTTTATCAAGCTTGAGATGTATGTCCTCATGATTAGTTGAAGGGAGTACTGGTTGCTGTAACGACGCAGGCAAGAAGAGAGATATCCGGAATAGGTGTGAATCCGCTACAAGGCATATGGGAGTGCTAGGATGACAAGAACACTAGGATATATTCTCTACACCTAACGTACTCCACGGGTGAGTCGTTCATACGGGTGAGTCGTTCATACTGCCAAGACCACACCAAACCTCCACCCTATTATGGCTCGCATTGGCCTACTTTGGCCTTGTATACACTGGTACAGCATGTAATATTATTCAGCAACAGCTTCTACAGGCTTTTTACATGTATGCGAGTTATGCCCTACCTTATAACACTATTTATAGCGTCTTTAGGTTGCCTTACCTCCTTTAACACGCACTTGCTTCCCTGCCTTCTTACTATTACCACGCGCCCTAAACTTAGTTAGAGTAGTTAATTAAAGGCCTTCCTTAGCTGTTAGGACCCCTTCCTGCTATAACTACTTTCTTTTATACAATTTACGTTGCGTAGAGGCCTTATTTGCTGCTTGAAGCCTAGTGATTTCCTTTTAAGCTAACACTAGCTTGTGCGCTACTATAGCTGCGCCTTTAGCAAGCTTTTTAAAGGCCTTAACTATTAAAGTTAGTAAGCTGCTTGCATGCCTTTAAATCCTCTCTTAAATTAGCGTTAATTGCGACCCTATTTGCAGGGTATTGCTAGGGGTTTAGGACTGCTAGGGAGCATCTTCTATAGTAGGTAATAGTAGGGTATATAGGCAGACATTAAGACCTATTATAACCTGTTCTAGCTTAAAGGGAACTAGTCTAGCGCCTTAGAAGCCTCCTTAGATATTGCTAGGAGTAAATAACTCCTTGTAGACGCCTATAAAGCATAGCAGGAACTTAGTTTTAGTAATATGTGTAATTCTATTGTGTATAAGATCCTTAGCTTAGCGCTTATACGCCTTCTTTAAAGGGGCAAAACAACCTACATCTAGTGGCTGCAAGAGGTGTGATAAGTGTAGAGGCATACATAGTGTGATAATATTTACTTCCTTGCAGTATTGTTAGAAGTCTAGGGAGTTGTAGCTCTTATAGCTATTAATAAGGAGCAGCTAGTACACTCCTTAGGTGCGTGTCTTTGTATAGGCATTAAAGTGCTTTAACTAGTTAAGACTAAGCTAGTTAGTAGTCTATCTGTTCTTAGAGACTCTAATAACCTAGTTATAGGGCAGATTGTCCTCTTTGTACTAGGTAGAGAGGTGGTTGCGGCCTTTAAAGATGATAAAGGGTGGAATGGCCTATCCTGTGCTATTAATGCCCTGTATGACTATTGTCCACTCCTAGTTGCCCTGCTGCACTGCCTTTGGCCGTCCGCGACGCTCTAAGCCTGTAACAACTACTCCTGTTGATATCTGGCCTATCATGAAGCCTGTCTTATCAAAGTTGTACGTGTTATCATCCTGGATGCTATACTTGGCTTTAGTATTCTCTACTAGGCAGAACTAGCCCCTAATAACCTTAGGGTCCTTACACAGGGCTCTCTTGTAGTTTTACTTGTGATTAAACTTGACTTAGAGGTTAGGGCGGCGCTTAACAAACGTATTAGGCCAGTTTATGCCAACATGGGCTATATTACGCTTAGCGCGCAAAGAATTGGCCATATCAGCTACAGCAGCCAATTGAGGGGCAAATCCTCTGGCATCCAGCTCAAGTATGTACTCAGCAATCACATCCTCCTCAGTCTGATCCATATTCCGTGATTTCGGCGTGCAATTGGCTCGTGCAGTGCGTCCTGCGTATCGATCGCGTAGCGTGTTGTAAGGCGCGTTATATATAGCTGCAGCGCGTCGCAGAGTGAGCGTTGCGTCTTGTTTAACTGCCTGAAGCGCAAGCTGTATTGCAGCTTCTTTAAAGGGCTTAGATTTGTGTTGTTGTTGAGGCATTGCGTTGTGAAGTGGAATGTTGGTGTGGTCTTGGCAGTATGAACGACTCACCCGTATGAACGACTCACCCGTGGAGTACGTTATCTAGATTTAATAGATGTTTAACAACTAGTAGCCTACTAGATAGCTAATCTAGGCCTTTTAGTCTAGTTATTAAAGACGTAATTTGCCTCTATGTGTGTTATCTATTATAGCAAACACTTTGCACATATATACTCTTAGGTATGCAAGGTTAGGTTTTTGTAGTAATATTACTATTCTGTTGCTAAAGGCAACTTGCGTAAAGAATATTTTGTATAGTGTTTTCTAATAGTTTACGTAGTTTGGCGTTTAATTGTAGAGGTATACTGCCGCCCTTGTGATTTCTGGCCACAGTTCCTAGGAGAGGTTGGCATCAAGTTGCATTGCGCGAGCTTTCTCCTTGTTCACACCCCCTAAGCGTTCTGCGTTACTGTTCTGTGCTTGTGTGTCTAGCGCTAAAGGCTCCACAATAACTCCTTGTGTTGCTAGCTATTTTAATACGTCTAGTTTAACTATAGCTATCTTGTTATCTACCTTAATAGTCTTAACTAAGATGTTATAGTGATTTTTTAAGAAAAGGATAAATATTAATAGTGCCTTAATAATTAACTTTACTATGTAATAATCTATAAAGTAGAGGTCCTACTATAGGCCTAAGAACCTGTTAGTTATAAGTATCTAGCTCTTTTCTTTAGTAACTCCTTATACTTTGTAAGAGTAGAAGTTAATGCTAAGTCTTTCTCTAGGTCTGTTATTATTAATTCTTAGTATACAGCTAATTTACTATTATAATTTAGCTATTCTATAAGTGTTGCATTTAACTGTAGTAATGCCTTAGATCTGCACCCCCTAAGTCTGCTAGACAATGTGTTTAATTGTAGCAGGACTAGGGTAACTAAGTTACTTGTGCCACTGTATTGCTAAGGCCTTCTGTAGTCCTCTCTTAGTGCGTGTGGTAATTTTGTGTGTGTAGTTAGCAGCTAGTAGGGATAGTTTATACTTAAGCACCTACTAGCTAAGTATTTCTAATACTACTCTAATTACTTAGCTATTTACTTATTAGAGAGTTGTTAGGTCTACTTATATATCCTACTACATACCTCTGTTTTATAGTAGGTAGAAGGACACTAGGTTGCATAGCAGGTCTAGGCAAATTGCTATATCTATAAGGGTAACCTTAGTTGTCCTAGCTCTACTCCTTAGGAGTAGATTAATTAATCTATATCCTCTAACTAGTACCTTAGAATTCCTAGCCTATATAAAGTCTCTAGGCAATAGCTGTTAGAACCTATAGACGCAGTTAGGGTTGTTAGTAATATAATAGGTAGAACCTAAGTTAAGTATAAATAACTTCTATAGTAGATAGTTAGTAGTATCCTGTTAGTTTACTATGCTAAGCACTACTTTAATATTATTAATTTCTTAGCCCTCTAGTTAATTGTCTAGGATTTCTAGGGTAGAGGTGTGTAAGTGCTTTACTACTAGTATTCTTAATCTACTCTTGCTTTATATGCAAAGTAGCCCTTAAAAGGTAATATCTTTCTTACACTTAAACTTAATAAGTTTAGAAATAATCTTATTTAGTTTCTACTACTTAGGAGCTCTGTCTTAATTAATATAGTAGTAATCCTGTATAGAGTGGTGTTGTCTATATATAGGGTATTTTGCTCCCCTAGTAGAAGTAGGCTCTTAATCTAAAGGCTGCTTAAGCATAATAGTTTTCCTACCTACTATATATTAATATTAAGGTCTGCCCTAGTTAGATAGCGCGCTTATAGCATGTTAGGCGTCCCCTTTATAGCTCTAGGAGGCTGCACCCCCTTTAGCAAGAAACACTGTATTATTAGCTACAAAGGCCTTGTGCTACCCTAATCTAAGGGGATAATTTATTATTATATAACGTGGTTTATCACCGAGCCGCCAGGTATCACCGAACCGCCACCCCTCGCCAATTTTGCGACTGTTACGATAATTATTACAATGCCATCACAACGCAACGCGCAATCACCCTATAACAAAGGTACACTATACCTTGCTATCTAAGCTACAAAAGCTACTATGCCTGACAGTATAAATCACGCGTCTAAGGCCTTTAGTGTTCCCTAATTAACGTTAAGAGACTAACGCGCAGGAGGGCTTGCACAACGCGATTGCAAGGCCAATTTAAAGAAGCTAACAAAGGTAGAAGAGGAGGCAATAGTTAACTGTATACTTAAGCTAGACAGGCAAGGAATAGGCGCAACAAAGACTATAGTGCAAGATATAGCTAATAATCTGCTTGCTGCACGTGGTGAAGGACCTGTTAGCAAGCTCTAGGTAAACAGGTTTAACACGCGTACCTAACAAATTAAGCTTTAACATAGCTAACTATACAATTGTTAACAAGCCCTAAATAAAGATACACGCGTTATAACGCCCTAGTTTGAGCTAGTTAGGAATACAAAGGAGAAGTACAGAATCCTAGATAGAGATACCTACAACTTTAATAAGACTAGGTTCATAATAGGCATAATTAGGTCTAAGATAGTGTTTACAGGCTTAGAGAAGCAATCTAACCCTAAGAATATCTAGCCTAGCAATTAGGAGTGGGTCACAATCATCATTAGTGTCTACGCTGCTAGCTAGGCTATCCCACCCTTTATTATCTTCTAAGGCAAGGTCCTAATTACAACCTAGTACCCTAATCTGCCTTATAATTAGGTAATTGCAACTAGCAAGAATAGCTAGATAATAAACAAGCTTAGTCTAGAGTAGTTAAAGCACTTTAACATGTCTACAAAAGAGCGTACTATTGGCGCCTACTGTCTGCTTATTATTAATAGCTATAAGAGCTACAACTCTACAGAGTTTAAGGAATACTGTGCAGAACACAAGATTATTACCTTGTGTATGCCCCTACACTTGTCGCACCTATTGCAGCTGCTTAACGTGGCCTGTTTTGGCCCCTTAAAGAGGGCGTACTTAATTAAGGTTAACGCCTAGTTATAATACTTAAAGACACAAATTAAGAAAGAGTTCTTCCTTACTAGCTTCTAGACAGCCTATTATAAGGCTATTACAAAAGACAATATCTACAGAGGCTTTAGAGGCGCAGGACTAGTTCCTTTTGACCTAGAGTGAGTGCTATTAAAGCTTAATGTAGTCCTTCGCACGCTAACACCACCACCACTAGAGACTACCCTATAGGAATCTAAAACACTAACCAGCGCAAAGGAGGTTAAGTTATAAATGTTGTATATCTGTGAGCGCATGCAATTGCACAGAGATTCGCCCCTGTCTCCTATTATAAAATTACTTGACTTGCTTGCTAGAGGGGTTGCGCAGATAGACTATGCTAACGTGTTGCAGAGAAGGGAAATAGATAGCATGAAGAAGGCTATTAAGGCTCTAACAGCGCAGTGTAGTTGCAAAAGAAAGTATATCTAGACAGAGGAGGCTCTTATAGTTAGTGAGGTACAGGATATAATAGCTAAGAAGGATAGTGGTGGTAGTAAGGCATCTAAACAGTCTAGGAAGAAGGTGCGCAAAGAGAGGCACTGCGGACGTTGTGGCAAGACTAGCTACAATTTGCGCACCTGCACTGCAGAAATATTAGATGCAGATAATAGCGCTGCTTCTAAAGAGTAATTGTAGCAATTATAAGTATTAGTGTAGTGTTGTGGTTAAGCGTAATAGTTATGTAATAGTTAGTAACTCTAAAAAAGTTGGTAAGGGGTGGTAGTTTGGTGATACCTGGCGGCTTGGTGATAAACCACGTTACTCTTAGTAGTGTTTTATTATCTCCTTCTAACTTATACTAGATTTAAAGCATCTACTATCTTAAAAGCTTGTAGCCTAGATAGGCGTAACCCTATTCAAGAATCACAGCTGTTAGGAAGTCCTTTATTATTACATTTAATTACAATAATTTAGTAACTTTGTATATCTCTGCTTCTGTAGCTGCCTAGTTATACTTAGCTAGCTAGGTATCCTATTGTGACGTGCTTCTTATTAGCTTAAGTGCTAAGAGGTATCTATCTTAGGCTTATTCTTGTTTAATTTATTTATTAACCCTAATAGTAAGTTGTAGGTCTATAATCTACTATTATAGTAGTTTCTTAGGAAGACAGCATGTACGCAGTAGATGTAGCAATATAGTTAACTAAATAAACATAATAATATACTAAAGGCTTACTTCCTCCTTCTTATATTTATATTAATTATTCTTGTATTATTTAAGGAGTACTTTATAGTACTTAAGGTCTTCCTTAAATGCCTTTTAGCCTATTATTAATAGCTTAGTTAGCCTTAATAGTATATTAGTGTTTGTGGCTAGCGCGTAGTTAGTAATAGTTAGAGCCCTTAGCAAGAGTGGCTTTAATAGTAGTAGTGTAGTTGTCTTTAGGTTAATCTTGTCCTAGATATTGCGCGACAGGCATCTCGCCTGTAGCTGCGCGAGCTAGCCAGTCCAGTTAGCTTGGTCCCTAAGGACTGTTGTTGGGTCGCGGTACGCTGGTTGCGCCATTTCAATTGCGGCAGTTCAGTTGCAGCAGTTTAATTGCGGCAGTTTAGTTGCGGCAGTGAGACTCTTAATTGTCAGATGCTTGCACTGTGAGCCAGAGTATGTGCTTAACGAGATCTTAGGTGGTATAATGATTTATTGATGATTGTGGCCATGGTGTCTCTGCCGTGGCGTCGTGCTGGTTGCTACAGGATTGAAGTGGGGGGGGGAATTAGCGCTGTTCGCGGCCGCCGGTGTGCGGGCCAATCAGGAGTTGCCAGGTCTCGCTTAATCGACCTGGCAACTGCTGATTGGCTGCACGACAGGTCCCTGCTCGATTGCGCAGATCCGACCTCTCTCCGCTCGCTCTTATCTGACAAAGCTAGGAGTGGGAGCCCTTGAAATCGGTCCCAAGCAGGTATTTATGGGATCATTATGGTCAAGCGACTCGAGAACCTGCTACCAATACATTCTATCCTTCCTCAGACGACTCGGCAAGAAGTCTTCTTGACTTTCTACACTTTTCACTGCGACGTATCCATATTGGCTTTCTGGGCTTACATCTGCGACCTGGAGCTTCATATTTTTCAGCAAACGGCTGCGCTCCGAACCGCTCAGAGCTGTCCCTCCATCTGGAGTATTGGTGTACGGATTTTCTCGTGCCAGAGAGGATGCGTAGTAGAAAATGTCGGGAGCAATAGTTGTGAGCGAATGTGCTAAATTGACAATACCAAGCATAAGTAAGATGAGACTTATCAGGAGGAGGCTCATGATCCAACCCACATCTGCTCGATAAACCGGTACCAGATCCGAGAAAATGGCATCGCTTGCGCTGATCCAACGGTCGGGCGAGCGTGAATCTCTTTCACCGGCCCACGGATAATCTGGCTTGTCGTATAAAGCAGCTCTGGTGACTTGATAGCCCCAAGAGCAGCCTTGGAAATATGTGTTTAACATGGTGGTGAGACGGTTTATTCTTTCCCGATCCGTGATCGTGGCGAGTGACAGCAGCTTTAAGGCGCCGAAGGGGTCGTCGCTGCCCATAAGCCACCTCGTGAAGGCGCCATTCGTTGTTGCTTGATCCTTATAGTGCGAGAATAGTGAGGCTACTGACGTAGGAAGATACCGCAGAAACTGGAAGACGGTGTTTGTGGCGTTTGTCATGCATCCTATTCGATGAAATGGTCCAGTTTCACAAGCAGCTTCGAGAGACGAAGCAGACTCGTTCGGAATGCGACGAAGTCGAGTCACGCTACAGTCACCTGATCGACATACAATCTGCACATCCACAGTAATGATATGTAGAGAACACGTATACATTACAAATAAGCTCTCCATGGGTAAATTAGTGTTGGCATTCTGGCGTCCTGAGATGTGGAGGCCAAATAGAAAACTTATGGGTTCCCGGTCCAAGAAGAACCAAGGTGTCGTCATGTTTGGTGTTCCATCAGTGCTGTTTGTCAATTTTGCAGCTCGCAGGAAAAATGACTGCGACGAGACCTCACTCACAGTGGAACCAGCGATGCTGACGTTGGTGAGCGTATCAGAAGCACTTTGGTTGGCCTCTGTGCGAGCCAATCGCGGAAAAACGGCCATATTAGATGCGTACAGTCCATCAAGGGTGTTTTCAGGCGTATCAATAGATGGAGGTGGGCAGTCAAGGTACATGTAGTTGTGCTTGACTTGGAATGCAGCATGCGTAGTTTGGCGTAACCCTTGAACATTTATCCCAGTCCATGAAGAATACGTTTGGTTCTTGCTCGAGTCCACATCGATCCAGGTCTCTTCCAAGGCATCGGTAACAGCCTTTTGCTCTATCGTGTCGAGTCTTGGTACTCTCGGATGGTTCCATGAGTCAACACTTCTGGCTCTGTCTTCTACGGAAGCTGCTAGACTCGCGGTGAGGACCGTGGAAACAATGGGAAGCCAGTTACCAGCCTCTTCGATATCTATAGGTGCTACAGGGTTAGAGTAGTAGATTGTACCATTTTCTGACACCGTGGAATTCGTCTGGTGCAACAGACGAAGTGAGCTTTGCCCACCCAATGGTGATAGAGCCCAGAGTAGGAGGAGACAAATTGAGATGGAGTTGGCCGAGCGAAGGCTCCATGCAGTACCAATCGCAGAAACAAGACTTTGGCTACCCAAGAGTCTTTCCAACATCTATCTGCAAGTCAGTGTGCTATAATGCGATGTGAGGTAGCGTGCCTACCAATAAAGTGGTTCCCCGCTCTGCGAGACGGACAGCTATGCTTCTCAAACATCGGCCACTAATCGCAGCAAAAGCAAGGGGATATATTGTTGGACCTAGGCTCATCGCACGTTCCACAGCTTGGCCGTTACTCGACAACTCCTTTCCATTGAGTTGCCATGCAGAAATCCCGAGCGCTACTTTAAGTCAGCAAGATGTAACAATGCACCAAGACATGATTTCATGTACCAAGAAATGCGACTGGCAACAAGATCAAAAGCGTGTCTCCAATCAGTAATTGCACTGAGAAGCCGCGAAGCTTCCGAGGAGCGGTGGGCCAGCCTTCAACTGCTGGTCCAGTATAGGTCTTGGGTAAATCATCCTTTAGATGAGGGCTAGTCATGCTGTTTCGGACTGTGCTATCGTGCGAATCGTTACCATCAGTGTCACTGACATTGCTACTCAGTTGATTGATATGGTGCTCTTCAATGCTCTCGCCAACGTTATATGACTGATTTGTCACAAGGTTGGTATAAGCGACTGATCGGTGATCTGTACGAGCGCTTTGGAATGGAAACATGCTGGTGGTGTGAAAGGCTACGATTGTGCCTCGCGACAAGGCTAGGTACTCGCCTTATGTATGTACTCTCTGGCCCCCTCATAGTGGTCACGATGAATTTGAATGTGAGAATCCAGATGTCTATATTTAGAGCGGGAGAGTGTTGGTGTGGGCTGTCTGCTGCACGATAGGACCATTCTTTGCATTACCCCGCCGTGTGATCAGGCTGAGCATTTGCCAATGATGCACGACGTGCATATCCTGGAAGACCGCGGAATGAAGGTTTTGTTTTTAGGTCAGGCATGTATATACTGTTTGATGTCATCATTTTAAAAGAGCAAAGAACCGAATAACCTGCAACAGAACACACAGAGGGTGCAAGTGTGAATGAGGCAAGTCCCGTGTCCGGTTAATTTAATTCGTTGCAAGTTAGCAGTAGATAACGTGTTTGATCAGCTCGTGCACGCTAGGTAGTCTTCTGTTGCTTATCGATACGCGTTCTACAACTTCAATGAACGCCGTCACCTGAACTTCTGCAGCAATACTCCTGCGCAATTAGTAAACCCTTCGCTCTAAATTAACACACACAATTTAGACTTGTCTACTACACGTCCTGCTTAAGTTGCATCAACATTAAGGCATATTAAGGGCAAAGGTTTGCACGTTTAAGATACAAAGGTTTGCACGCAAGGGTCAGTGCACACGCTAAGTATTTAGTAGGGAATACAAAGGTTTGCACTTCCAACCTTCGTATAAGTTAATAAAATGAGGCTGCTTGATTGGCAAAGGAGTAGCCTGTATTTGTGGCGATGAGACAATACGCGCATACCCTGCGGTACCTTCGCGATAATGTGGAATGACCACACTTGTATTTTTTTGCAAGTGATGCGATAATATAAAGCGTGCTGTGGTGTACATGTTTGGTGAGGCACAAAATCGTGCACTTGGTGTCGACTTGCATCAGACGGTGATTTCTGTTCGGCGAGGCATCTGTAGTTTGGAGGCAATGTAGCATGGTACAAAGGCAGATACTCAGTCTGTCATTGCCTGAACTGCTGACACAGCATAGCTGACGGTCTCCAAACTGATCATTTGCTGACAGACGTCTCTGAGAAATTTTCAGCCGCAAGACTTCTGCTACGCTCTGAGTTACTCAACCGGGATGTACTGTTACATTGGGAAACTCACAAAGCGGGGTTCCAGGTACAGTAGCTGCTAGGGGTCTGCAGCTGGCGAACACAAATATTAGGGTTGGTACGGCAGTGAGCCACACGATGAATATGTTTGTTTAGGTCACTTGTCTCCGCTAATCCATGCAGATGCAGGTGAACCCAATGGTGCTTTTGATCAAAATCAAAGAGAAGAAGTACACGACTCCCAATATACGATTTACTCACCAGCGCGAACTTCGTAGGGCGAAGAGAATTCGGTCTGAGGCCAACCGAACGACAGTTGGATTGGGAGTATAGACGTCGAGCCCAGGATTGCCAAGCTACGAGAACACGTGGTAGGGTCAGGAACATTGGTGAGCAACTGTGCGCTAGACTTAATCAATCTCGTCCTCTAAGTTATGTCCTATCGCATTGAAGGTCTCATGCAAGTGTGGGCGAAACGAGTTTAACACAGTACCCCGCTCCTTGTACTTCTTAACAGGCGTGCTTGGCTTCCCTTAGCTATGCACATCTGCCAGGAAGATCAATTGACTGATACAGACAACTTAACACAAAGAAGTAGTCAAGCAGTTGCTATGGATTTACTAACTTCATTGAATTTTAGCGGAGAAGCTTCTGCAGAGACATCTTCTAGTAGCAACGCGTTACACCGATTCCAGGGGCGTTCACAACACGGCCCAAGCGGCACCTATGTGCAACTTAGTTGCGGCATTGACCTTAATACGGACTAGGTATGAGTTCCCTGCTAAAGTTGCACCAATGATAATAAACGATTAGATTGTGTTTCTATTTTGGCTAATTTACCGAAGCTCAACAGCAGCGCATAGATGGGAGGGGGGAGACTCTATATATTTCCGCAGGCCCCTTGCTTTGAGACAGGTCTCAACATATGCTTTAAATAAGCACTAAGTCTTTGACATCTACAATACGAAGTACACCATTACAGCTACTATGGATCAGAAGAGTCCTGGCATTTTGCCCTCTCTTTTGTTGCACAACAGTCTTGTATTCAATTCCATCACGCTTATACTTTCTTTGCTCAGCGCGTACTTTGCAGCACAATATGTATACTTTCTGACTTTGCATCCTCTTGTGGAGTTTCCAGGGCCAAGGTTGTGTTCAATCAGCCGGATCCCATATTGGCTAGCCGCAATTCAAGGAAGAGATGTACAGTGGATGTATCAGTTGCACATCAAATATGGACCCGTTGTTCGATTTGGACCAACCGACCTCAGCTATGCAACAGCACAGGCATGGAGAGATATCCATGGACACAGCAAGGGTAGACCAGAGAACCACAAAGCACCAGAATTCTCCGCACAACCTATCAATGGTATAAAAGCTCTGACGTTTCTCTTTTGCAGTCGCTAAAAAAGTAAAGGTGTCCCAAGCATGTTAAACGCCACTTTTGAGGATCACGCACGAGTTCGCCGGCTCTTCTCGCCAGCCTTCTCCGACCGTGCACTTAAAAAGCAAGAACCCCTGTTCAAAGCATAGTACGTAGAGTCTCTAGAACTGAAAAGACCATTACTGAATTCTTCACTAACTCTGTCCTAAAGTGTAGACATCCTATTGACAAAGCTAGTTCAGATTGCCGATAGCCAGCAACCTGCTGAGTTGACGCAATTGTTTAATTTCGCTACCTTTGATACTATGGCTAAACTATGCTTTGGTCATTCTCTTAGCTTACTAGAGAAGAATGAGCTAAGCCCTTGGGTTCGTTCTATTTTTGAGTCACTTAAGATGTTGCCCTTTGCATCAATTATTGCTTACTATCCCCTTCTAGACTCAATGTTTAAGCGATATGAGCCTAGATGGGTCACAGAGCAACGAAAAACTCACTGTCAGTACTCAGCTAACCGCGTGGATCAACGTTTGCAAGAAGGTTCTGATCAGCCTGACATCTGGAATCTTATCATCTTGGCACAGGACTCTAAGAACGCCCTCTCAACAGAGGAGATGCATTCAAACGCCGAATTGTTCATGATGGCTGGATCTGAAACCACAGGTGAGTGTCTGTGGTTAAATGCAAAACCTGAAACTAACACTTAGTTATAGCCACTTTGCTAAGTGGTCTAACATATTATCTGCTCCAAAACACCAAACAGTGCACGCGTCTAAACAACGAACTTCGGAATAGATTCCAGTCACCTAAAGATATGACGTTTGACAGTCTTGCTCAGTGCAAGTACCTAAACGCTTGTTTGAAAGAAGGTCTCCGAATCTACCCTCCAGTCCCTATTGGAAGCCCTCGCGTTATACCTGCAGGTGGTCAACAGATTCTTGGGAAATGGATACCAGAAGAAACTAGAGTATCAGTCCATCACTACTCCACCTATCGCTCCCAAGCCAACTTTCGGGATTCTGACCAATTCATCCCAGAGCGGTGGATGCCTAGAGAAAACGCCATATATGCAAATGATGTGCATGACGCTTTGCAGCCTTTTGGATGGGGCCATCGGAACTGCCTTGGTCAGAATATGGCTTTGCATGAAATACGGCTTATTCTTGCTTCAGTCATGTTATGCTTCGACTTAGAGCTCTGCAAAGAGAGCCAAGGCTGGCTAGAACAGAAGTCCTTTGCGCTATGGATGAAGAATCCTTTGTTATGTAAGATCAAAGCTCGTCATACAGGGGAGGTTTTGAGTTAAGCAGTAAAGATTTTTCATGCGTACTTCGCGAATAGATGTGCGCTGGGGGTGATCCCGCAAGATAGCACGACTTATCGTCGCCTGCGTATACTCGATCCGTATTCAAATTGCAGCCCTATGGTCTGGCAGAAGCGAATTCGACACTGCATAATCGTGTCGCTCGTTACCAGACAATCCAATGTCAGCTCCTTTTGCTCTTACATTGTCTCAGTCGCAAATCTGTGACAGCAACGACGTGAGACACGCCCAGCTCAATATTCACACCCGCAGCATCAGCTTTGACACATCTAAGCTTAGCAACAATGATCGCCACCGTCTCAAGCCCACTCTTCTCAACACTCTCAATCTTAATTGTCGTCATGTTCCCCGCACCACCCCATACACTCCAATTCTCCACCTACTTTGCCTCGTTACAGCTCATTCAGACTTCAGTCCTAACACAGTTCCAACAGCCAGTGACTTCTGGCTTCATGAAGAGTCGTCCCACTCAGGGGCGCTTTGTGGGTACGATAATTCTGCACCGATACTGCTCCGCCCCATGCCACACTAAGAACCATATTGCCACTCTCACTGCACTCTTTCATCCTGGGCATATTACCGAAGCCCATGACGACGTGATCGGAGGGCACAACTTGCATTGAGCTCTGGGTAGCGGGGTAAACAGGTTCTGAGGGGTTGGAAAAGGAGTGATGAGGTTATATTGTGTCCATTCTATACTGCCGTTGCGGATGATCTCAACAATGAAGCAGTGGTGCTGTGAAGAGAAAAGCAGACTACTGTTGGAGGAGCGCTCGACAGATTTGATATGGAAGGGTCTCTAGTAGTAGTTGCTGTTCTAACCTAAGTTGCCCGAAGGATACGTGGGTAGCGCGCTTTCCAGAGAGATCTCGTTGGCGTTATCGAAAGAACTCCACTGCTACCGGATTGCACTGTTGATTACGTTGATTTCAAGCACGATCAAGTCGACAATTTAGCCATCTTTTGGTCCGCCAATAGAAGTCAAATCCCAGGGTACGACGTTCGTTGCGCCGACAAAGGTTCTGAATTCAGTGGTAGTAATATTCATGTGCATATCAATTCAGCTGAATGGCCAACACTGCGTGGCGTAATACAGTGTACTGATGGTTTTGAGTCTGAACGCATTGCAGATGTTCTTGTATCGTTGGTTAGGGTCTGCAATTTTCCATAGCCCAAGCCCCAAGGTTCGGGAAATTTTATACCGCTGAAGAAGGCGTGGACTGGCTCACCAAAGAGCGGGGTTGGACAGAAGGCAGCAAAATTTTCGTAGTCAGACAGCCAGGTCAGCTGGCCGTCATTCGGGTATATCACGGGACTGTGGCTATTGTTGGAAGGTGTTCCCATGGGTGTCTATTACCCTGTTGGGCTAATGTGTTTACTTCAGCGGATCCGTCTCCAATGGCTGATAACCATTCATCGCACATTCAACTTTCAATAGGTAGCTGCTGACAGTAAGCGGTCTTGCGCACCAGCAGAACTCATACCAGTACCAGTAGTTGTTGTGGTGCAAGTCGGTCTGACAGGCCTCGATCGTCACCTCTGTTGACTACCTTGGACTAGCACGTCTCAGGGCATGTATATATGGTCGCCTCCTAGCTAGCAAGCAACTCAGCTCAGTTTTCCATCGATATACAGCGGCTACGTTTGCCGCAACAGTAGTCAACCCTGATTAGCGCTTCGCAAGCACAGCGACAAGCCCAGGTTGCTCCTGCACGTTGTTAAGAGTTACTGCAGTTAACAATGGCAGTCGAGCACGTTTTGCCGCTGTGTCTGGTGTTGGTATTGTTGTTGGAACCAGTACAGTACTGGTGGTCCGGCGGCAGGCGGATGCGGGCGACTGCGCGTCCCAGCAGAGCTCTACGTATAGTTGTCGTACGATTGGGTGCGGTGTTACAGGTATGGGAAACTAAACAGAGTTTGTGTTATTTCTATCATCATAGCTCAGCTTATATCTAGGCCCTTGCGCGGCACGCTTTGTAATATAGTTCAGGTTCACGACAACAATTAGCCTGCGACAGACCCCCTTAGAGCTCATTCAGTCTCAGATGAGGTTTGATCGTTGTCAGAGTATGCCTTGTCGTGTCAGTGCGCTAGATCAATCCGTAGTGAAATATGAACCAGGCCCAAGTGGCGTACAAACTAAGAGATTTTTCTGCTAAGAGTGGTTTGGTGAAGCCATCCAAAGGCATTTTAGTCTTTAGAACCTATTGAAATATGACCTTGTCGTCTCTGTAGACCTGCCTCAGCCAAAGGCTATAATTTTCAACGTGCTTCAGCTTTTGATAACGTTTGTGGGCTGTCTTTTGAGATCAGGCCTGGTGTCTGCTGGTTTGTTGCAGAGTATGTGAGGTTGGTGCTCAGGATTAAACTGTATATGCTTGAACAGTTGGTACAGACCTATTGTTTCCTTCGCTGTGTGTGCGAGCGAGAGCAACTCAGCTTCAGTTGTAGACGTGGTCACACTTTTCTACTTAGACGACTGCTACATAATCGCTCCATTGAACAACTTTGTAAGGTAGCCTTGCGTAGATCTTTGATTCTCTAGATTATCCGCGATCAATGCGTCGCTTAACAGCTAAATTACCTCTTCATCGCGTATCTCTACCTCAGTGGTAGTTTCCACTAAGCCTAAGAACTCAATGGCATAGTACCTTGTGACCTAGAGATATGCGAGAACTCAGTTCGCGTAACGCAAGTACTCCAGTAAAGGGTTCCACGTGAACTGACTTATCTAGCTGGCTGAAAGAGACACGCCTAGTCGTGATACAACTGCTGCATACAGGATCAAGCCTACCTTTCCTATCATCTCTGTGATTTGATAAAGCGTTGCTTGCCCCTCGTATTATAGACGACGATAAGACAAGAGAAGAGGTGTTGTAGCTGTTCTTCTAGTGTTGTCTATACTAAACTTGGTAACATGTTTTACAAGCGAGCGGGCCATACAGGGACCGTGCACATCGTGCACGGATTCACATCGTGCACGCGAAAACCACCTTTGGCAACCACAAAAATAAGACTATAGAGCCACACACAAAAGCTATTATATTGAGATTTTTTTGTTGTAACAGTCTACTAACGCCTATGATGCTTGTCCTGCTCCCATTTTCTATTTGGTCGCGTGGTGCGGCCGCTGCGTGTAGTAATTGGTGGAGGTGTCGGGGAAGGTGACGCCTCAACTACAACCTGAGTAGCGCCACGCGCACGCTGTTTTTTGGCTGGAGGTTCTGTAGGTGGCTTCTGTGAGGCCTTGCGCTTGCCTGTTTGGGATAGTTGGATAGATTTGGCAGCGTCGCTCTCTTGTTTTTTTCGTTGTTTCTCAGCCTTCTCAGCGGCCTTCCTGAGGGCTTTCTCTTCCTTTGCCCTCGCTCGTTCCACCTTCCGCTGCTCCTTCTCCCGCTCATCTTGAACCTTCTTCTCAGCTGCCTCTGCCTTTTTGCGAGCCTTTGCAGCAGCTTCCTCAGCCTGTTGGCGGGTATTTTGACGCAGTTAAGCTTAGGCTTCATCCACCTTTGTTGGAGACCACAACATCGCGTTGGAAGTATAGGACTTGGAGGCCTGTAACGGTAGGGCTTGGTGGTACCTCCGAGAGGTCTTCCGGGTGTCAATTTGGTTGCGGAGGCCTTCGTTTTCTACCTCCAGAAGGGCGTTGCGAGCTGCTAAGTAGTTGAACGTGCGAACCAGCTTCCTTGCCTCATAACTTGTAGAGTCCTTCACTATTGCCTTGCAAAACTGTTCTATCGCGACCCTATTGACGTCGAGTAATGGAGATGGAGTTCGCGGAAGCTCGCTTGGCTTGTTCTGAAACCTGTCAAGTATAATAGCTGGGTTTAGTGGTGAGATGCCCGTGGCTTTGAACGCGGCCAGCACAAGCTCGCTGTTGAATGTTTTGTACCAGGAGGCTCGGAAAAGCTTGTAGAAATGACGCTTTTTGATGCCAGTCAAGGCCTGGCTCTGGTGGAGTTGTTCAGTGACTTCTTTGGAGTAGTTGTTGCCAAAAGGTGAGAAGCAACCCACATCAAGCGGCTGCAACGTCTGGGTACTGTGAGGTGGATAGATAAGTAGTAGAATCTTGTGGCGACTACAATAGTCGATAAAAGCCATCGTTATGTGAGAGCTGTGGCCGTCAAGTATGAGTAGGCGCCAACTACCGCGAGTTTTACTCGCAGTTTCCCGCTCAAACACCTGTTCAAGCCAGGCAAGACCAACCTCGTCGTTG